TGGGGGTTTGGGGTCAGTTTTGGGGGTTTGGGGTCAGGTTTGGGGATTTAGGGTCAGGTTTGGGGGTTTAGGATCAGTTTTAGGGGGTTTGGGGTCAGTTTTGGGGAATTTGGGGTCAGTTTGTGGGTTTGGGGTCAGGTTTAGGGGGTCTGGGGTCCGTTTTAGGGGTTTGGAGCCAGTTCTGGGGTCAGTTTGAGGGCTTTGGGTCAGGTTTGGGGTCACTTTTAGGGGGTTTGGGGTCACTTTTAGGGGGGTTTGAGGTCAATGTTGGGGGTTCGGGGTCAAATATGGGGGGTTTGGGACCAGCTTTGGGGTCCTGCCCCACATCCCCTCACTGTCCCTGGTGTCCCCAGACCCCCGGTGATGTCCCCAGATCCCCGGTGATGTCCCCAAACCCCCCGGTGATGTCCCCAAACCCCCCGGTGATGTCCCCAGACCCCCGGTGATGTCCCCCAGACTCACAAGAGGTCCCGGGGTCCGGTTTTGAGCAGGATCCGGACTCCTCTCCATCCTCCTCCTCCCAGCCCCAGCCCCAGCGCGGCCGCCGCGCTCCAGCCCCAGGGAGCCCCGAGCAGCCGCAGCAGCCCCAGAGCGGCCAAAGAGAGCGCGCAGAGCCCCGCGGGGCGCATGGCACCGGGAATACCGGGAATGGCACCGGGAATACCGGGAATGGCACCGGGAATACCGGGAATGGCACCGGGAATAACGGGAATACCGGGAATGGCACCGGGAATACCGGGAATGGCACCGGGAATACCGGGAATGGCACCGGGAATGGCACCGGGAATACCGGGAATGGCACCGGGAATGGCACCAGGAATACCGGGAATAACACCGGGAATAACACCGGGAATGACACCGGGAATAACACCGGGAATGACACAGGGAATGCCACCGGGAATGGCACCGGGAATAACGGGAATGACACTGGGAATACCGGGAATAACACCGGGAATAACACTGGGAATAATACCGGGAATAATACCGGGAATACTGGGAATAACACCGGGAATAACACCGGGAATGACACCGGGAATGACACCGGGAATACCGGGAATGACACCGGGAATGGCACCGGGAATAACGGGAATGACACCGGGAATACCGGGAATAACACCGGGAATAACACCGGGAATAATACCGGGAATAACACTGGGAATAACGGGAATAATACCGGGAATAACACCGGGAAAACTAATGGGGAATAGCGGGAGTAACACCGGGAATAACACCGGGAATAACACCGGGAATAACGCCGGGAATAACACCGGGAATACCGGGAAAACTAACCGGGATAACAAACCGGGATGGAGAACCGGGAGAACTAACCGGGAGAACCGGGATACCTGAACACCCGGGATAACCGGGAACCGGAATAGCCGGGAATACCCGGGAATGGATAACCGGGACACCCGAGATAACCGGGAATAACCGGGATAAGCGGGAATAAGCGGGAATAACCGGGATAACCGGGAATAACCGGCAACAACCGGCAATAACCGGGGCCGGGATGAGGGAACGGCCGGGAAAGGGGGCTGGGAACGGGGAACGGGAAGGAGGAGCGGGAATAACCGGGATGAGGGATCGGGAACCGGGAACCGGCAGCGGCCGGGGCTCTGAGGGTCAGCGGGGCCGGGCCCGCGGGGGCCGCGATGGGGACCGGGGAGCGCTTCAGGCCTCAGCCAGGGATCCGGGACGCGGCTCCGGGGCTCGGTTCGGGGCTCCGGGGCTCGGTTCGGGGTTCCGGGGCTCGGTTCGGGGCTCCGGGGCCGCTCCGGGGCTCCCGAGGCCTCCCCGGGGCCCTCCCGGTGCGGCCGCGGCTCCCGCCCCCCCGCTGCCCCCCTCAGGCGAGGCCACGCCCATGAAAGGCGTGGCTTGGGGAACGGCGCGTTCCTATTGGCTGGCGGCGCGGATGGCGGCAGCTGATTGGACGAGGAGAGGGGCGGTAAAAGAGGAGGGGCCATAGCTGATGAAAGGGCGTTGTTATGCAAATTAGGTGGGCGGAGCTAACCGAACCACGCCCACGACCTGTTGGTGCCCCCCCCCAGCGGGGGGAGGGGAGCGCGGGACCCCCCCCCCAAATTCGGGACCCCAAAATTGAAACCAAACAGCGCCGGGACCCCCAAATCGGGACCCTCCCCCCAAATTCGGGACCTCTCCAGGTTTGGGACCCCAAAACCGGGACCCCTCCCCCAACCCCCAACCTCAAAAACCTCAAAGAAACCTCGGGGTCCCCTCCCCCACCCCGGCCGCCCCTCCCCCACCCTCCCGTTAATTCCCAATAATCCCAAATCCCAAATAATCCCCAAAAATTCCAAATCCGCCACCGGAGGCGGCTCCGGGGGGGGCTCCAGGGGGGCTCCCCCTTTTTAACCTTTTTTGTGGGGTTTCGTCCTCATTTTTGGGGTTTTTATCCCAATTTTTTTGAGGTTTTTATTCCCATTTTTTGAGGTTTTTATCCCCATTTCTTTGGGATTTCCCTCCCCATTTTTGGGGTTTTTATCCCCATTTTTTTGAGGTTTTTAATCCCCATTTTTTGAGGGTTTTATCCCCATTTTTTTGGTGTTTCCATCCCCATTTTTGGGGTTTTTATCCTCATTTTTTTAGGTTTTTATCCCAATTTTTGGTGAGTTTCCAGCCCCTTTTTTAGGATACCCCCCTCATTTCTTAGCTAAAACACCCAGGTTTTGGGATTAAAAGCCATTTTTTAGGATAACCCCTCCGTTTTTTTGGGATAAACCTCCAATTTTTGGATAAAATCCCATTTTTTACGATAAAATCCCACTTTTTGGAGCTAAACCCCAAGTTCTTGGGATAAAAACCCCATTTTGGGGGCGAAAAATTCCATTTTTAAAAACAAATCTCTCCTTTTTGGGGATAAAACTCCCGTTTTTGGGGCTAAATCCCCCATTTTTTAATAAAACTCCAAATTTTCGGGCTAAAACCCTCATTTTTCGGGCTAAAAATCCCATTTTTTTGGGATGAAAACCCGTTTTTTTGGGATAAAATCCCCGTTTTTAGGGATTGCCGCCCCTCCCCCCAGCCCTTCCCGCTCCTCCCCCTCCCTTCCCGCTAATTAATCCCTTAATTAACCTCCTAATTAATCCGATCGCTCCAAATCCGCGTTGCCTCGGCGGGGACGCTCCCGAGCGAGCTCCAGCTCCTTTTATCCCGCGATTTTTTTGGGATAAAATTCCCATTTTTTCCCTCCCAAATCCATTTTTTCCCCGGATAAAATTCCCGTTTTTCCCATCCCTTTTCTTCCAAGAGTCTTTTCTCCCTTTTTTTAGGGATAAATCCTCATTTTTTGGGGCTAAATCCTCATTTTTTGGGGCTAAATCCTCATTTTTTAGGGCTAAATCCTCATTTTTTAGGGCTAAATCCTCATTTTTTATGGATAAATCCCTATTTTTAGGGCTAAATTCCCATTTTTTTAGGGCTAAATCCTCATTTTTTAACGATAAATCCCCATTTTTAGGGATAAATCCTCATTTTCTACGGATAAAACCCCATTTTTACCTCTAAAAATCCCATTTCTTAGCTCTAAAACCCCTGATTTTTTACCTCTAAAAACCGCATTTTTACCTCTAAGAATCCCATTTTTTCAGCCCTAAACCCACCATTTTCTTCCCTAAAAACCCCATTTTTCCCCTAAAAACCTCATTTTTACCTCTAAAACCCCCATTTTAACCTCTAAAACTCCAATTTTTACCTCCAAAACCCCCATTATTACCTCCAAAAAACCCCATTTTTACCTCTAAAAATCCCAACTTTAAGCCCTAAAATCCCCATTTTTAGCCCTAAAAACCCCGGTTTTTTTTCCTAAAACCCCCATTTTTCCCTAAAACTCCCATTTTAACCTCCAAAACTCCAATTTTTACCTCTAAAACCCCAATTTTTACCTATTAAAATCCCATTTTTTCCGCCCTAAACCCCCCATTTTTTGCCCTAAAACCCCCATTTTTAACCCTAAAAACCCCGGGTTTTTTTCCTAAAAACCCCAATTTTTATTTTCCTTTTTTCCCTCAATTTTTCCTGCCCCCGGGATGACCTGGACATTATTTTCGGGCCGTTCTCTGCTGACGCGGCGCTCGGATCTGCGGCTGGACACGGAGGCGCTCCCTGCTCACCGCTAAAATCCCCATTTCCACCCCAAAATCCCCATTTCCACCCCAAAATCCCCATTTTCCACCCCAAAATCCCCATTTTCCACCCCAGAATCCCCACTTTTCACTCCTTAACCCCCCTCTTTTAGCTCTAAACCCCGCACTTTTTGTGATAAAACCCCCATTTTTACCTCTAACCTCCCATTTCTCAGCTCTAAAACCCTTTCTTTTTGACCTCTAAAAACCACATTTTTACACCTTGAAACCCCATTTCTTTTCCTAAAAACCCCATTTCCCCCCTAAAATCTCCGTTTTTACCTCTAAACCCCCATTTTGAAGCTCTAAAAATCCCATTTTTAGCTCTAAAAATCCCACTTTCACCTCTAAAAACCCCCATTTTTTTCAGCCCTAAACCCCCATTTTTTACCCTAAAAACCCCGGGTTTTTTTCCCTAAAAACCCCATTTCCCCCTAAAACCTTCATTTTAACCTCTAAAACCCCATCTTTAGCTATTAAAATCCCTTTTTTAAGCCCTAAAAAATCCCATTTTTACCTCTAAAAATCCCATTTTTACCTCTAAAAATCCCATTTTTTTAGCCCTAAAACCCCCATTTTTTACCCTAAAAACCCCGGGTTTTTTTCCTAAAAACCCCAAATTTTTTTTTGCCCCTTTTCTCCCCAAAACCCAAAGGATGGCCTGGGCATTATTTTCGGGCCGCTCTCTGCTGACGCGGCGCTCGGACGTGCGGCTGGACACGGAGCGGGAGCTGCGCCGGGCTCTGGAGAACCGCGTGCTGCTGCTGCTGTTCTCGGCCCGGCGCTGCCCGCGCTGCCGCGGGTTCGAGCCCCGGCTCCGCCGCTTCTGGAGCCGCCTCACCGACCCCGCGCACGTGGAGCGGCCCGAGCAGGTGAGCCTGGTGTACCTGGGCATGGACAGGTGCGAGCAGGAACACCGCGACTACGTCAGGAACATGCCCCGAGGATGGATGGCGCTGCCCTACGGGGATGAGCTGGGCAGGTGAGGGTGGATGGGACAGGTGGGGATGGATGGATGGATGGATGGATGGGACAGGTGAGGACAGGTGAGCCTGGTGTACCTGGGCATGGACAGGTGCGAGCAGGAACACCGCGACTACGTCAGGAACATGCCCCGAGGATGGATGGCGCTGCCCTACGGGGATGAGCTGGGCAGGTGAGGGTGGATGGGACAGGTGAGGATGGATGGCACAGGTGAGGATGGATGGATGGATGGATGGATGGATGGATGGATGGATGGATGGATGGATGGGACAGGTGAGGACAGGTGAGCCTGGTGTACCTGGGCCTGGACAGGGGCGAGCAGGAACACCGCGACTACGTCAGGAACATGCCCCGAGGATGGATGGCGCTGCCCTACGGGGATGAGCTGGGCAGGTGAGCGCAGGTGGGACAGGTGAGGGTGGATGGATGGGACAGGTGAGCACAGGTGGGGATGGATGGCACAGGTGAGAATGGATGGGACAGGTGAGGACAGGTGGGGACAGGTGATCCAGGTGATCTCAGATGATGATGGATGAGCACAGGTGATCCAGGTGAGCACAGGTGAAGGACAGGTGAGGAACAGGTGAGGAACAGGTGATCCAGGTGATCCAGGTAACCCAGGTGAGGGACAGGTGACCCAGGTGATCCAGGTGACCCAGGTGACCCCAGGTGATCCAGGTGACCCAGGTGACCCAGGTGACCCCAGGTGACCCAGGTGAGGAACAGATGAGGGACAGGTGACCCCAGGTGACCCAGGTGACCCAGGTGAGCTCAGGTGACCCAGGTGAGCCCAGGTGACCCAGGTGACCCCAGGTGACCCAGGTGACCCAGGTGACCCCAGGTGACCCAGGTGAGCTCAGGTGACCCAGGTGAGCTCAGGTGAGGAACAGGTGAGGGACAGGTGACCCAGGTGACCCAGGTGACCCAGGTGAGCTCAGGTGACCCAGGTGACCCAGGTGAGCTCAGGTGACCCAGGTGACCCAGGTGAGCTCAGGTGACCCAGGTGAGCTCAGGTGAGGAACAGGTGAGGGACAGGTGACCCAGGTGACCCCAGGTGACCCAGGTGACCCAGGTGACCCCTCTGACCGCCTCTCCCGTCCCCCCGCAGGGAGCTCCAGCTCCGTTTCGGGGTGTCGGAGCCGCCGGCCGTGGTGGTGCTGGACCCCGGCGGATCCGTCCTGGCGGGAAACGCCGTGCGGGAAATCCGCGACTCCGGAGCCTCCTGCTTCCGCGGCTGGCGGGAAGCGGCCGAGCTGCTGGACAGAAACTTCCAGGAGCCGCAGGAGGCCGAAGGCTCCGTCCGGCGCAGCCTGACTGAGCCACTGAGGAGACTCAAGTACCGAATGAGGGAGGAGGAGGAGGAGGAGGAGGAGGAGGGGGGGAAGGAGGAAGAGGAAGGGGAGTAGAGGATTGGATGGGAAATGCCGGGAAAAGAAGGGAGGAAGAGGAGGAAGAGGAGGAAGAGGAGGAAGAGGAGGAGGAGGAGGAGG